AAGGCGAGAGATAACAAGGGACTGAATAAGTTGCTTAGTAGTTTAAGTGGTTAAGAATGGGCGTATCTTGGAGAAGGGTTGTGGAGGTGAAGTCTACATGATTTGGACAGCGATTGGATTTGGGGCTGAAAGGACAGATGGGAGTCTAGGATTACAAATAGTACCCTTGCATGAGGGGAGGGACTGATGGTTGCATTATTGATCTTGATGGAGAAGTCAAGGGAGGGGGCATGGGCTGGGGGGAATACTAAGAGCTCAGTTTTGGAAAGATTGAGTTTGAGGAAGTGGAGTGACATCCATGCCGATATGTCGCTTAGTAGGTTAGTAATGCGAGAGGAGACTGAAGGGGTGAGGTGAGGAGTAGAAAGATAGATTTGTGTGTCATCAGCATAAAGATGGTACTTAAAGCCATGGGAGTTTATCAAGTGACCAAGGGAAGAGGTGTAGATGGAGAAGACATGGGGTCAAAGGAGAGACCTTAAGAGACCCCTACAGAAAGAGGAAGTGGAGAGGAGGAGACAGAGTTATAGGTAATGCTGAAGGAGAGCTACGATAGGTAGGAGGAGAACCAGAGCAGAGTCTCAGAGGCCAAGAGAGCTGAATTTTTTGAGGAGGAGGGGTTGGTCAACAGTATCAAAAGCCGCAGAGAGGTCAAGCAGTAAGAGTAAGGAGTAGTGGCCATTGGTTTTAGCAGTTAGTAGATCATTAGTGAGTTTTAGTAGGGAAGTTTCAGTGGAGTGTAGTGAGCCAAAGCCAGACTGTAAAGGGTCAAGAAGTTTGTTGTCAGTGAGGTAGGAGCTCAAGTGATTGTAGACTAAGCGTTCTAGGAGTTTGGAGGTAAATGGCAGCAGGGAGATGGGTCTTAAGTTGTTCAGGTTGGTTATCAGAGGCGATGAAGGGTTGACACTCTCCAGTTATCAGAGGCGGTGAAGGGTTGGCGCTCTCCGGTTGTCGGAGGCGGTGAAGGGTTGGCGCTCTCCAGTTGTCGGAGGAGGTGAAGGGTTGGCGCTCTCCGGTTGTCGGAGGCGGTGAAGGGTTGGCGCTCTCCGGTTGTCGGAGGTGGTGAAGGGTTGGCGCTCTCCGGTTGTCGGAGGCGGTGAAGGGTTGGCGCTCTCTCCGTTGGAAGCGGTGAAGGGTTGGCGCTCCCCAGTTGTCGGAGGCGGTGAAGGGTTGGCACTCTCCGGTTTGTCGGTGAAGGGTTGACGCTCTCCGGTTGTCGGAGGCGGTGAAGGTTGACTCTCTCCGGTTGTCGGAGGCGGTGAAGGGATGACGCTCTCCGGTTGTCGGAGGCGGTGAAGGGTTGACGCTCTCCGGTTGTCGGAGGCGGTGAAGGGATGGCGCTCTCCGGTTGTCGGAAGCGGTGAAGGGTTGACGCTCTCCGGTTGTCGGAGGCGGTGAAGGGTTGACGCTCTCCGGTTGTCGGAGGCGGTGAAGGGTTGACGCTCTCCGGTTGTCGGTGGCGGTGAAGGGTTGACGCTCTCCGGTTGTCGGAGGCGGTGAAGGGATGATGCTCTCCGGTTGTCGGAGGCGGTGAAGGGTTGACGCTCTCCGGTTGTCGGTGGCGGTGAAGGGTTGACGCTCTCGGTTGTCGGAGGCGGTGAAGGGATGACGCTCTCCGGTTGTCGGAGGCGGCGAAGGGATGACGCTCTCCGGTTGTCGGAGGCGGTGAAGGGATGACGCTCTCCGGTTGTCGGAGGCGGTGAAGGGTTGACGCTCTCCGGTTGTCGGAGGCGGTGAAGGGATGGCGCTCTCCGGTTGTCGGAGGCGGTGAAGGGCTGACGCTCTCCGGTTGTCGGAGGCGGTGAAGGGTTGACTCTCTCCGGTTGTCGGAGGCGGTGAAGGGTTGACGCTCTCCGGTTGTCGGTGGTGGTGAAGGGTTGACGCTCTCCGGTTGTCGGAGGCGGTGAAGGTTGTGGTGAAGGGTCGACGCTCTCCGGTTGTCGGTGGCGGTGAAGGGTCGACGCTCTCCGGTTGTTGGTGGCGGTGAAGGGTCGACGCTCTCCGGTTGTTGGTGGCGGTGAAGGGTCGACTCTCTCCGGTTGTCGGAGGCGGCGGTGAAGGGTCGACACTCTCCAGTTGTCGGTGGCGGTAAAGGGTCGACGCTCTCCGGTTGTCGATTGGCGGCGAAGGCTCGACTCTCTCCGGTTGTCGGTGAAGGGTTGACGCTCCCCCTTTGTCGGAGATGGTGAAGGCTTGTCGCTCTCCGGTTGTCGGAGGCGGTGAAGGGTCGACGCTCTCCGGTTGTCGGTGGTGGTGAAGGGTTGACGCTCTCCGGTTGTCGGAGGCGGTTGAAGGGTCGACGCTCTCCGGTTGTCGGAGGCGGTGAAGGGTCGACGCTCTCCGGTTGTCGGAGGCGGTGAAGGGTTGACGCTCTCCGGTTGTCGGTGGCGGTGAAGGGTCGACGCTCTCCGGTTGTCAGAGGCGGTGAAGGGTCGACGCTCTCCGGTTGTCGGAGGCGGTGAAGGGTCGACGCTCTCCGGTTGTCGGAGGCGGTGAAGGGTCGACGCTCTCCGGTTGTCGGAGGCGGTGAAGGGTCGACGCTCTCCGGTTGTCGGAGGCGGTGAAGGGTCGACGCTCTCTCCGGTTGTCGGAGGCGGTGAAGGGTTGACGCTCTCCGGTTGTTGGAGGTGGTAAATGGTTGTCGATCTCCAGTTGTCAAAGGTGGTAAATGGGTTGTTGCTCTCCAGTTATCAGTACCAGTTCAGCCTGACAGCTCAGCCCCGCCCACTCTGATACAGACCGCCACCTCCCGCCCACCCTGATCTCATATCCTCTATAGCTGATTGATCGGGTCTGGAATTCTACTGAACACAATGCAATCATGTCCCCGCCTCCTTCTCTGAAGTTACATGTGTGTCTCTCTTTCTCTCTCCCAGTCTTCTCCTTTCCCAAATTGGCTTCCTGTCGCATCTTGGTGACGTGTGTCATCACTCGGCCATGTGATCCGCCACATGACGCTGGAGAGATCCTCCCCTTCGCAATGCCCCACTTCCGCCCTCTCCTCGTGGTCGCATAGTGATAGACCGGCGGGAGGAGGAGGAGTCTGAGAGGAGTAAGAGGCGGAGCGAGCAGAGAGATGGAGGGATCCGATCCCCCGGGTGAGAGATCTTTGCCGGTCTGTGTGTGCGGAGATCACCGGGTGACGTCATGTGGAGGGGGAGGGCGTGTCCTAGTCCTGTAGACTGGACGGTGCGATCTCTGTATTCTGTTATCCCTTCTTCACCATATATACACGGGGAGTCACATGGCCTACCTCTGACGTCATACTTCACAGGAGGACTGAAATATGAACTGTCTGTATGGCCCCCTGATCCACCCAACATGCGTGTTACGATTTACAGTGGAGTCCTGGCATTACATGACATATTAGGGTGGAGTCATGTCTGTCCTGTCATTACATGTTGTATTTGGATGGAGTCATGTCTGTCCTGTCATTACATGTCATATTAGGGTGGAGTCATGCCTGTAGTGTCATTACATGTCATATTAGAGTGGAGTCATGTCTGTAGTGTCATTACATGTCATATTAGGGTGGAGTCATGCCTGTAGTGTCATTACATGTCATATTAGAGTGGAGTCATGTCTGTAGTGTCATTACATGTCATATTAGGGTGGAGTCATGTCTGTCCTGTCGTTACATGTCATATTAGAGTGGAGTCATGTCTGTAGTGTCATTACATGTCATATTAGGGTGGAGTCCTGTCTGTAGTGTCATTACATGTCATATTAGGGTGGAGTCATGTCTGTGCTGTCATTACATGTCATATTAGAGTGGAGTCATGTCTGTGCTGTCATTACATGTCATATTAGAGTGGAGTCATGTCTGTAGTGTCATTACATGTCATATTAGGGTGGAGTCATGTCTGTCCTGTCGTTACATGTCATATTAGAGTGGAGTCATGTCTGTAGTGTCATTACATGTCATATTAGGGGGGAGTCCTGTCTGTAGTGTCATTACATGTCATATTAGGGTGGAGTCCTGTCTGTAGTGTCATTACATGTCATATTAGAGTGGAGTCATGTCTGTGCTGTCATTACATGTCATATTAGGGTGGAGTCCTGTCTGTAGTGTCATTACATGTCATATTAGAGTGGAGTCATGTCTGTAGTGTCATTACATGTCATATTAGAGTGGAGTCCTGTCTGTGCTGTCATTACATGTCATATTAGGGTGGAGTCCTGTCTGTAGTGTCATTACATGTCATATTAGAGTGGAGTCATGTCTGTAGTGTCATTACATGTCATATTAGGGTGGAGTCCTGTCTGTAGTGTCATTACATGTCATATTAGGGTGGAGTCATGTCTGTAGTGTCATTACATGTCATATTAGGGTGGAGTCCTGTCTGTCGTGTCATTACATGTCATATTAGGGTGGAGTCATGTCTGTCCTGTCATTACATGTCATATTAGGGTGGAGTCCTGTCTGTAGTGTCATTACATGTCATATTAGGGTGGAGTCCTGTCTGTAGTGTCATTACATGTCATATTAGAGTGGAGTCATGTCTGTGCTGTCATTACATGTCATATTAGAGTGGAGTCATGTCTGTGCTGTCATTACATGTCATATTAGAGTGGAGTCATGTCTGTGCTGTCATTTCATGTCATATTAGGGTGGAGTCATGTCTGTGCTGTCATTACATGTCATATTAGAGTGGAGTCATGTCTGTGCTGTCATTACATGTCATATTAGGGTGGAGTCATGTCTGTGCTGTCATTACATGTCATATTAGAGTGGAGTCATGTCTGTGCTGTCATTACATGTCATATTAGAGTGGAGTCATGTCTGTGCTGTCATTACATGTCATATTAGAGTGGAGTCATGTCTGTGCTGTCATTTCATGTCATATTAGGGTGGAGTCATGTCTGTGCTGTCATTACATGTCATATTAGAGTGGAGTCATGTCTGTGCTGTCATTACATGTCATATTAGGGTGGAGTCATGTCTGTGATGAGCTATTAATGTTCTCCTCTCTCTTCTCTCAGGTGAGGGGAAGAACAAGATGGCTGACTCTAACCTGGCCAAGGTACAGTCCTGTGTCACCCCTCCCTTCCCCCTACCCTCTGGGGCCCTCCCACATCTGTACATAATGGCAGGGAGAGGGGTCCTTACTACACAGACACAGCCAGGAGCATGGGAGGGGGGTACATCTCATGGAGGAAGGCAGGGTACACCTTGGAAGGGTAGGGTACACCTGATGGAAGAAGGAAGGTACATGTGGGGGACGGGGGTACACCTGATGGAAGAAGGAAGGTACATGTGGGGGATGGGGGTACACCTGATGGAAGAAGGAAGGACATGTGGGGGATGGGGGTACACCTGATGGAAGGGAAGGAAGGGTAATGTGGGGGATGGGGGTACACCTGATGGAAGAAGGAAGGTACATGTGGGGGATGGGGGTGCACCTGATGGGGGGAGGAAGGGTACATGTGGGGGATGGGGGTACACCTGATGGGGGGAGGAAGGGTACATATGGGGGTACACCTGATGGGGGGAGGAAGGGTACATATGGGGGGGGGTACACCTGATGGAAGAAGGAAGGGTACAGGTGGGGGATGGGGGTACACCTGATGGGGGAAGGAAGGGTACAGGTGGGGGTACACCTGATGGGGGAAGGAAGGGTACAGGTGGGGGTACACCTGATGGGGGAAGGAAGGGTACATATGGGTGTACACCTGATGGGGGAAGGAAGGGTACATATGGGGGTACACCTGATGGGGGAAGGAAGGTACATGTGGGGGATGGGGGTACACCTGATGGAAGAAGGAAGGTACATGTGGGGGATGGGGGTACACCTGATGGAAGAAGGAAGGTACATGTGGGGGATGGGGGTGCACCTGATGGGGGGAGGAAGGGTACAGGTGGGGGATGGGGGTACACCTGATGGGGGAAGGAAGGGTACAGGTGGGGGTACACCTGATGGGGGAAGGAAGGGTACATATGGGGGTACACCTGATGGGGGGAAGGAAGGGTACATATGGGGGGTACACCTAATGGGGGACGGAAGGGTACATGTGGGGGATGGGGGTACACCTGATGGAAGAAGGAAGGGTACATGTGGTTGATGGGGGTACACCTGATGGGGGAAGGAAGGGTACATGTGGGGGATGGGGATACACCTGATGGGGGAAGGAAGGGTACATGTGGGGGATGGGGGTACACCTGCTGGGGGAAGGAAGGGTACATCTGTGGGATGGGGGTACACCTGATGGGGGAAGGAAGGGTACATGTGGGGGATGGGGGTACACCTGATGGAAGAAGGAAGGGTACATCTGTGGGATGGTGGTACACCTAATGGGGGAAGGAAGGGTACATGTGGGGGATGGGGGTACACCTGATGGGGGAAGGAAGGGTACATATGGGGGTACACCTGATGGGGGAAGGAAGGGTACATATGGGGGTACACCTGATGGGGGAAGGAAGGGTACATGTGGGGGATGGGGGTACACCTGATGGGGGAAGGAAGGGTACATGTGGGGGATGGGGATACACCTGATGGGGGAAGGAAGGGTACATGTGGGGGATGGGGGTACACCTGATGGGGGAAGGAAGGGTACATGTGGGGGATGGGGGTACACCTGATGGGGGAAGGAAGGGTACATGTGGGGGATGTGGGGGATGGGGGGTACACCTGATGGGGGAAGGAAGGGTACATGTGGGGGATGGGGGTACACCTGATGGGGGAAGGAAGGGTACATGTGGGGGATGGGGGTACACCTGATGGGGGAAGGAAGGGTACATGTGGGGGATGGGGGTACACCTGATGGGGGAAGGAAGGTTACACCTTGGGGTGGAATGGTACACCTGGGGGAGGAGGGTACATCTAATGGAAGAATGAAGGGTACACCTGGGGGAGTTGGGTACACCTTGGCGTGGAATGGTACACCTGGGGGAGGGGGGTACATGTGGGGGATGGGGGTACACCTGATGGGGGAAGGAAGGTTACACCTTGGGGTGGAATGGTACACCTGGGGGAGGGGGGTACATCTAATGGAAGAAAGAAGGAAGGGTACACCCGATGGAGTGGACTTTTGGGGGGGAATACACTTTGGGAGGGAAGGGTACACCCGATGGAGGGGGAATACACTTTGGGAGGGAAGGGTACACCCGATGGAGGGGGGGAATACACTTTGGGAGGGAAGGGTACACCCGATGGAGGGGGGAATACACTTTGGGAGGGAAGGGTACACCCGATGGAGGGGGAATACACTTTGGGAGGGAAGGGTACACCCGATGGAGGGGGAATACACTTTGGGAGGGAAGGGTACACCCGATGGAGGGGGGGGAATACACTTTGGGAGGGAAGGGTACACCCGATGGAGGGGGAATACACTTTGGGAGGGAAGGGTACACCCGATGGAGGGGGAATACACTTTGGGAGGGAAGGGTACACCCGATGGAGGGGGAATACACTTTGGGAGGGAAGGGTACACCCGATGGAGGGGGAATACACTTTGGGAGGGAAGGGTACACCCGATGGAGGGGGGAATACACTTTGGGAGGGAAGGGTACACCTGATGGAGGGGGAATACACTTTGGGAGGGAAGGGTACACCTGATGGTGGAAGAGTACACCTTGATGGAGGAAGGAAGGGTACACACACAGAGGGGTGTCAGATATGCCATGAATGCGGGTGTCTTTAGTGGTGTTTAGTGTTGGTGACTCCAATGATGTCTCTTATGTCCAGATGAAAGGTCAGGAACTATCCAAGGAGGAGAAGCTGCGCTTGCGAAAGGAGAAGAAGCATCAGAAGAAGAACAAGGAGAGGGCGGCGGTGGCAGCGGAGGCCAGGGACGTTGTGCAGGACGCCGCTGTACAGAAAAGTATTTAACATTGATTGGTATTGAACTTGAATCACATTGTAACCCAAAGTAAAAATGAGATTTATTGATCTCCCTCCACCTCCCTTGTTTCTGCCATCTTCACTTTGCTGCCCGGGGCTTATATGTGTATTTTGGGTTTATAATAAAAAACCATCAAACAGCGCAAATCAATACTCAAAAAAAAAATATAGAATTAATAATAAAAATAATACAAAAAACTTATAATAAATATAAATAAATATCAATTGAATAGTCCCACTCCAACAAAATAATTATTGAGATGAATATGATGAATAGAGTGAAATTGAAAATCCTTATTCAAAAGACCCTTGACCCATGTTCACACCCGTTAGTGCTCAGATCGCATACCGCACTCACCAGATATTGGTGAAAAAAATGCCTTAATTATGGGTTTTGGAATCCTAGACCCATTCAATTCTGCCTCCAATCACCGGATTTAGGTGAAACTTCCCCAATGCAGGTATAGATATATGCCTCAGACCTCCAAACAGTGGTAAAAACCAGCCTCCAACCTCCAGAATCACCAGAGATCACTCACCATAAAGAGATGATTGGTACAAAGAAAAAATGTATATAATGTAATACTGCAAGGCTCAGACAGGATGAATGCAAATACCAAACCACTCACATCTTGAAAGAATATGATCAGCATTTATTGTTTATATGGAGCCATAATGCCACATTACCAGGGTAAAGATCTCCCAGTCAGCAATACATGACAGCATGTAAGAATCCACCCTCAAGCAAGATGGCCCCTGAGAGCGCCACACGCCGGCGTGTGCTCCACTCACCGGAAGTGATGTAGTACGTTGGACGGCGAAGCCGGAAATGTCGACTTGTTTTGCCTCTCCAGGCCCTCTTTTTACCACTGTTTGGAGGTCTGAGGCATATATCTATACCTGCATTGGGGACGTTTCACCTAAACCTGGTGATTGGAGGCTGAATTGAATGGGTCTAGGATTCCAGAACCCATAATTAGGGTTTTTTTTTCTTGTTTTCACCAATATCTGGTGAGTGCGGTATGCGATCTGGCACACTAACTGGTATGAACACGGGTCAAGGGTCTTTTGAATAAGGACTTTTCAATTTCACTCTACTCACCATGTTCATTTCAATAATTATTTTGTTAGAGTGGGACTATTCAATTGATGTTATATTTATTATGTTTTTTTTTTTTGTATTTTTATTATATTTTTTTTTGAGTATTGATGTGCACTGATTGTTTTTTATTGTTATTTATTTAGGAATTATCTCACTATTTTTGTCACTACTTTTGGCGTTCGTGATTTTTTTGTATATATTTTGGGTTTGTGTGTTTACCTGACCTGGTCGTTTGGTCTTCCAGCTGAGGTACAGCCACCCATCACAGCACCGGCCCCTCCAGTACCAACAACTGCTGCCAGCCCAATGCCTGAGGTACCACCTGCAGGAAGAAGTAAGGCTGAGATGAGGGCGGAGAGGAGAGCCAAGCAAGAGGCCGAACGGGCACAGAAACAGAGTAAGAAGACGGAGCCGGGTGTGGGGCCTGCCCCAAGCAAACCCAAGAGCCAGCCTACAGACATCCAGACAGGTGAGACACGGAGGAGTGTAGACAAATGGGAGAGAAGAAAAAGTGGGGACATGGAGGGGGGAAAGAAGGAAAAGTGGGGACAGGCAGGGAAACGGGGGAGGGAGGAAGAGTGGGGAAGCTGAGGGGAATGAAAGAGTGGGGGTAGACTGTGGTGAGAAAAAAGTGGGGGAGAGATGAGAGTTTGAGCAGATGGGGTGAGAGGAGGAAGAGTGTTGGCAGATTCTGGGAGAGGAGGAAGAGCAGGGGTATACAGGGAAGAAGAGTAAGAGTGATATCAGGCAGAAGAGAGAAGAAAGGGGGGGGAAGCAGGGGCAGACGGGGGGAGCAAGATTGTGGGCAGATGTGAGCAGAGGAGGAAGAGCATGGTTAGAGTGGGGAGAAGAGTAAGAGAAAAAGAAGACAGAGGAGAGAATGAAGAGCAAGGGCAGACGAGGGGAAGAAGAGTAACAGTGAGGGCAGACAGGAGAGAAGTAAAAGTTGAGGCAGAAGAGGGAGAGGGATAAACGAGGGAGATGAGGAAGAACAGGGGCAGGCAATGTATGGGAGGAATAGTGAGGGCAGACTTGGAGAGAGAAGGAAGAGCGGAGGCACACTGGGGAGAAAAGGAAGAGCGGGCTCAGCCTGCGGCGAAAAGGAAGGGCGGGCTCAGAGTGCGGAGAAAAGGAAGGGCGGGCTCAGAGTGCGGAGAAAAGGAAGGGCGGGCTCAGCCTGGGGCGAAAAGGAAGAGCGGGCTCAACCTGGGGCGAAAAGGAAGGGCGGGCTCAGCCTGGGGCGAAAAGGAAGGGCGGGCTCAGCCTGGGGCGAAAAGGAAGGGCGGGCTCAGAGTGCGGAGAAAAGGAAGGGCGGGCTCAGAGTGCGGAGAAAAGGAAGGGCGGGCTCAGCCTGGGGCGAAAAGGAAGGGCGGGCTCAGCCTGGGGCGAAAAGGAAGGGCGGGCTCAGCCTGGGGCGAAAAGGAAGGGCGGGCTCAGCCTGGGGCGAAAAGGAAGGGCGGGCTCAGCCTGGGGCGAAAAGGAAGGGCGGGCTCAGCCTGGGGCGAAAAGGAAGGGCGGGCTCAGCCTGGGGCGAGAAGGAAGGGCGGGCTCAGCCTGGGGCGAGAAGGAAGGGCGGGCTCAGCCTGGGGCGAGAAGGAAGGGCGGGCTCAGCCTGGGGCGAGAAGGAAGGGCGGGCTCAGCCTGGGGCGAGAAGGAAGGGCGGGCTCAGCCTGGGGCGAGAAGGAAGAGCGGGCGTCAGATTTGGGGCGAGAAGGAAGAGCGGGAGCAGACTTGGGGAGAGAAGGAAGAGCCGGAACAGAGCGGTGGTGAGAGCTGGGGTAGACGGGAGAGGATAAAGGGTGGGGACATCTTGGGAAGAGTATGACGAGTGGGGGCACACAGGGGGAGAAGGGGAGCAGCGGGACCAAAAGGGAAAGGATACAAAGCAGGGGCAGGCAGGGAGGAGGAGGTGAAGGGGGAGAGAATGAAGAGTGGTGGTTATTGGGGGGAGAGGAGGGGGAGCAGAGGCAGGGAGGAGGAGGTGAAGGGGGAGAGAATGAAGAGTGGTGGTTATTGGGGGGAGAGGAGGGGGAGCAGGGGCAGGCAGGAAGAAGGATAGAAGAGCTGGGGTAGATGGGGGGGGGAGAGAATGCAGAGCAAGGAACACATGAGAAGTGAAGGAAGCTTGTGGGATGATGGGGAGGAGGAGGAAGAGCAGGGGCAAAAGGTGGGGGAGATGGAGGTGCGTGGGCCAGTGGGGAAGAGAAGGAAAACGGTGCAGTTTTGTCTGAATTAAACTTTTGACTTCCTTCTAACATGCGCCAAGACACTGCGGACCTTTGCTGCCATTTATGGGGAGTGTAAACGTCTGCCATGCCTTCCAGGAACAATGCTACGTAGACTAAGGTTTCAGTACTATTCCAGTAGTAGCCTTGTCCCTGATGGTTGTGATGGATCACTCTGCTCCATAGAAGAGTACTATTCCAGTAGTAGCCTTGTCCCTGATGGTTGTGATGGATCACTCTGCTCCATAGAAGAAGCGTGCTAGCTCCATTGTCTCCCATGTTCTGTATGGAAAGGGTCATTCAGCAGTGATCACATTTAATTTTTTCTGCAGTAAAACGCCTCCCAGATCACGTCCAGGTCGATGATCCAGCAGCCCAGAAGAAGCTGGCAAAGAAGTTGGAGAGACAGCAAGTGAGTGTGAGAAGGTGCTTTATTCCTAAAATGAGACGTGTTCATACACATAGGCAGACGCAGGGTGATGATTTCGCTGCTACAGAAGAAACATGTTCTATACAGTTATGCTCAAAAAGGTTGCAGACTCATGGAGAATTGGGAATATACAATAGATACCATTTCAAAAAAACATGAGTGATCCGGCAAAAACACATTTTCTTTTATTTCTTATGGGATTCATATTCTGTAACTGTAGGTCATAAGACACAATCATAAAACAGAACATGGCAACAAGTAAACAAAGGAATGTCCCCTGTTCAAAGGTCTACATCCCCTTAGTTCTTAACTTCTTGCCGACCAGCCACTGTAGAAATACGGTGGCAGGTCGGCTCGGCTGGGCAAAAGCACGTTTTAAAAACGTGCGTTTGCAAAACAGGTAGGAGGCGCGTGCCCGCCCTACCTGTCCCGCCGATCGCAGCTGCGGATGTCAGTCGCTGGGTCACAGCCGGTCATTTCCTACCGTGTCCCAGCGATTAGCGGCAATCACTGACAGAGAGCACGGCTGCAGTAGCTCTGCTTTCTGTCAGTCCCCTGTCAGCTCCTGACATGTTGATCGAGAGAGAAGAGTTTATCTCTCCAGATCAACGTGTTCCCCTGCAGTACACACCCCTGCCCCCTAGTAAAACACTCCCCTCACACAGTTAACCCTTTCAGTAAATAAAAAAAATTAACTCCTTCCTCCCCAGTGCCATTAGTACAGTGTCAGTGGTTTTATTTTGCACTGATCACTGTAGTGGTGTCACTGGGGATGTCAGTGACCCCAAATCAGTTCCCCCCCCCAGTGTCAGAATGTCCGCCGCAGTCTCGCCATAAATCACTGATCGCCGCCATTAGTATATAAAAAATTAAAAATCCCAGTATCTTTCCCGCCATTTGTAAACGCTATAACTTTCACGTAAACCAATTAACTTACACGTATTGGGTTTTTTTTTTTAGCAAAGACATGGAGCAGAATACATTTTGGCAGAAATTTATGACTAAATTTGATTTTTACATTTTTTTTTTACTGGACATGTTTTATAGCAAAAAGTCCAAAATATTGTTTTTTTTTTTCCTCAAAATTGTCACTTTTTTTTTTTTATAGCGCAAAAAATAAAAACCGCACAGGCGATCAAATACCACCGAAAGAAAGCTCAATTTGTGGGAAAAAAAGGACGTAAATTTAATTTATGTACCGTATTGCATGACCGCGCAATTGTCCGTTAAAGTAGCGCAGCGCTGTATAGCAAAAAAATGGCTTAAATTGCAGTATCTATACCATAGTTTGTAGACGCTATAACTATATACACTTATTGGGATTTTTTTTTACCAAAAACATGGAGCAGAATACATTTTGGCCTAAATTTATAACCAACTTTGAGTTTACTATATATTTTTTATAGCCGAAAGTAAAAAAATATTGTTTTTCTTCAAAATTTTTGGTCTTTTTTTTGTTTATAGCGTGAAAAATAAAAAGCGCACAGGTGATCAAATACCACCGAAAGAAAGCTCTATTTGTGTGAAAAAAAAGGACGTAAATTTCATTTGGGTGCAGCATTGCATGACCGCGCAATTATCAGTTGAATTAGTGCAGTGGCGAGTAGCAAAAAGAGGCCTGGTCATTAAGGGGGGGGGGGGGGGGTAAATCCTCAGGAGGGCAAGTGGTTAATACTGTGTATTCCCCCCATTCGCATCAATGACGAGGTGCAGTCTTTTGTAATAGTTGTCTATGAGGCCCCGAATTCTTGCAGGTGGTATAGCTGCCCATTCGTCTGCAAAATGCCTCCAGGTCTTTTGTCGTCTTGCATGAACCGCACATTTGAGATCCCTCCCATAGTGGCTCAATGATATTAAGGTCAGGAGACTGTGATGGCCACTCCAGAACCTTCACCTTTTTCTGCTTTAACCAGTGAAGGGTCAGCTTGGCCTTGTGCTTAGGGTCATTGTTGTGCTGGAAAGTCTAAGCGCATCCCATGCGCAGCTTTCGTGTAGAAGAATGCAAATTGCCAATATTTTCTGATAGCATGCTATGTTCGTCTTGCCTTCTTTTTTCGCAGGATTCCTTGTGCCTTTAGAGTTCACAGCCCCCAAAAACATCAGTGAGGCACCACCATGCTTCACAGTGGGGATGGTATTCTTGTTGCCATAGGCCTTGTTGACCCCTCGCCAAACATAGTGCTTATGGTTGTGACCATAAACCTCTATATTGGTCTCGTCACTCCAGATTACAGTGTGCTAGAAGATGTTTGGCATGTCAAGGTGTTGTCAGGCATATTGTAACCGGGCTTTTTTGTGGCATTGGTGCAGTAAAGGCTTCTTTCTGGCAATTCAACCGTACAGCTCCATTTTGTTCAATTATCGTCATATTGTGCTCCTTCAAAACAACCAGACCAAATTTTTACAGAGCCTGTATTTCTCCCAAGGTTAACTGTGGGTTTTTCTTTGTATCCCGAACAATTCTGGCATTTATGGCTGCAATCTTTCTTGGTCTACCTGACCTTGGCTTGGTATTAAGAGATACCCACATTTTCCACTTCCTAAACAGTACTGACTGGCATATTTGAGGCTTTGGTTATCTTTTTATATCCTTTTCCATCTTTATAAGTTCCATTACCTTGTGCCTTTTGACAGTTCTTTTCTGCTCCCCATGGCTCAGTATCTAGCCTCATTCCATCCACATGAGAGCTAACAAACAAATTGGCTATTTATACACTGACACTAATTAAAATTTAAAAAAAAGACACAAATGTGGGAAATTAACCTTTACTTGCCATTTTAACCCTGTGTGTGTTACCTTGTGTGTCTGTACCAAGGCCAAACATTGCAGGGGTTGGAAACTTTTGATCATGGCCATTTGGGTGGTTTCTGTTACTTAGAAAGTAGCCAAACAACAACAATGTGATTAATAAATGGCTTTATATGATCATCATCCTTAAACAAAAGACAATTTTTCTGTCATGATCAGTCATATTTTCAATATCAATGACAACATTTCACTTTTTCTGCCCGGGGATGCAAACTTTTTAGCACAACTGTACATGTGCTGACCCTTGTTTGTCCTTGCAGCCTTTGTCACCTCCCAGAACTTCAGGAACACACAAGGAATTGCCTGTGCCCACCACAGCCTTAGAACTTGGGGAAACATTGGTTGCAACGTTGAAACGCAATGTAACTAAGAATTATGAAGATAGCAACATTCGGGTCATCATAACAACCTTCATGGAGCATTTCTGAGCGGATGTATATTACATCTTACATGGCAACATAAGGAACTTAGTCATTATTTACGTTAATTTTGATTTTCTATCATTTCTAGAAGACTCATGGGAGTCCTGGGTTTGGTATTATAACAAAATATCTGAATAGTATTCTTAGCTTAGTTGAACCTTGACCTGTTGTCTTTTATCTTTTGTGGACCAAAGCTGGTCTCCACCGAACCAGCCAATTTTGATCTATGTACGGCCAGCTTAAAATGACCAGTCTACAGAGGCACAAGTTCAGTTCCTCAAAGCTGGTTGCATTCACTGGGCTTTAATGATCAACATCGACCAGGGGCGGACTGACAACTCATGGGGCCCCCAGGCAATTGGGGATCATTGGGCCCCTGTGTCCTTGCCCACACTCAAAGCACACCCAAAAAAGCCTATAAAAATTACCTGGGGCATTTCATGGGGCCCCCTACTGACCCCGGGCCCTCGGGCAGTGCTCGAATGGTCAGTGCGCCCCTGACGTCGACTAGTCCAAAGTGAGAGCCATTGGGAACTGAAGAGAAGTCCCATGGTCGCATGGAACATAAGAGTTTTAGGTTGGCTCATTAAGACAGATATATAAAATGAAAGCTACAGAGTACAGTCTGGACTTTTCAACACAAAGGAACCCTTGAAATAACTTTGTGGTCTCAGGGAACCCCTGCTAAAAATGACTATACCTACAACTCCTGATACATTAGTGTGATGGTCAGTGGCAAGAATGCTCCTTACACTCATGGTCACTGGGAAGAATTTTCCCCCCTTCCAGATCACTGGTGTCAGTGGGAACTTATCTGAGAGGCAGAAATTTCTCATCGTTTAAGGAATATCTAGCGACCTCTGGGAGAAACCCTGGTCTGGAGTTTTAGCAGTGGTCAGTTTACAACAAATTGACAACTGATGTGCTGATAAAGAATAGTATGCTGTAGACCTCAGATCACCCCAAAATCAGAAATGCAGGGGTTTTACATTCATACCTACTACAGGTTGTGGTTCCACCAGTAGGGAGGAGAAGTTTCAGTGGACCTCGTCATGTGATATCTGCAGGAGTAGCTGGGCCTACACTGGTAATGGAAGGGGGCTTGGCATCTGAACACTAGTGACAGAAGACAGGCCTTGGAAACATTGGAAAGGTGGGTGGGCTGCAGGCACAGAAGGGCAGGCTAGGCTTTGTAATTGACACCTAGTGAGCTGACAATTATAGCCTGTAGGGGATATAGAGGAGCTTCCGGTGGGCCAGTCTGAGCCTACATGCATCTTCTAGGTGCCACTGAAAATGACTTTGGGGGCCTGGCCTGGCAAGCATGCTTTAGGGTGGTCTTAGTTTCTTCTTGTACAGCTGCTAACAATCATTTATTCCCCATATTTTCTCCAGAAGACAAGTGTTGGGAGAGCCACAGCCCACCGTGGGCTGGAGGTTTGTGCAACGTGGTTTGTGATTAGAGTTTCTTCTATGTCTGTTGTGTGTGACTTACAAGAAGGGCGGGTGGCTGATCTATCGCCATTAAATATTAAAAAAAAACTGCGCTTGGTGCAAAAAATATTAAACAACAACCGTGGGAAAATAAATGCACAGCAGCACTCAAAAACACATAGAACCATGTAATGCATCCAAAAGCAAACATTGTTGCGTTATACTTTGAAGTTAATAAAACATACATAACACCGCTAAGTGCAAAAAAATATGTATTGATGTCCAACGTATCTAATATACCGTATTTTTCGCTCCATAAGACGCACCTAGGTTTTAGAGGCAGAAAACAGGAAAAAAAAATTCTGAACTAATGGACTGCAGACATAGTACAGGAGATGACCAGAGACTGCGGACATAGTACAGGGGATGACCAGAGACTGCGGACACAGTACAGGAGATGACCAGAGACTGCGGACACAGTACAGGAGATGACCAGAGACTGCGGACACAGTACAGGAGATGACCAGAGACTGCGGACAGTACAGGAGATGACCAGAGACTGCGGACCGTACAGGGGATGACCAGAGACTGCGGACCGTACAGGGGATGACCAGAGACTGCGGACCGTACAGGGGATGACCAGAGACTGCGGACCGTACAGGGGATGACCAGAGAGTGCGGACAGTACAGGGGATGACCAGAGAGTGCGGACAGTACAGGGGATGACCAGAGAGTGCGGACAGTACAGGGGATGACCAGAGAGTGCGGACAGTACAGGGGATGACCAGAGAGTGCGGACAGTACAGGGGATGACCAGAGAGTGCGGACAGTACAGGGGATGACCAGAGACTGCAGACACAGTACAGGGGATGACCAGAGACTGCGGACACAGTACAGGGGATGACCAGAGACTGCGGACACAGTACAGGGGATGACCAGAGACTGCGGACACAGTACAGGGGATGACCAGAGACTGCGGACACAGTACAGGGGGATGACCAGAGACTGCGGACACAGTACAGGGGATGACCAGAGACTGCGGACACAGTACAGGGGATGACCAGAGACTGCGGACACAGTACAGGGGATGACCAGAGACTGCGGACACAGTACAGGGGATGACCAGAGACTGCGGACACAGTACAGGGGATGACCAGAGACTGCGGACACAGTACAGGGGATGACCAGAGACTGCGGACGTAGTACAGGGGATGACCAGAGACTGCGGACGTAGTACAGGGGATGACCAGAGACTGCGGACGTAGTACAGGGGATGACCAGAGACTGCGGACGTAGTACAGGGGATGACCAGAGACTGCGGACGTAGTACAGGGGATGACCAGAGACTGCGGACGTAGTACAGGGGATGACCAGAGACTGCGGACGTAGTACAGGGGATGACCAAAGACTGCGGACACAGTACAGGGGATGACCAGAGACTGCGGACACAGTACAGGGGATGACCAGAGACTGCGGACGTAGTACAGGGGGTGACCAGAGACTGCGGACAGTACAGGAGATGACTGCTGACCTTTGGGGAGGGGGGGGGGAGCGGGTACCTGAATTTGACAGGTACCCGCTCTTACTTCTGCGGAGTTGTTCTTTGATCTTACCTGTTCCTCTATCCAGCGGCGCGCTGTCTACCTGGCTTCTGTAGTGTGGGCACTCGGCGGACAGCCGGATGCTCAGTGCGCATGAGTGAGAAGCGCTGCGCTTTGTGATTGGTCCGGCGGCTTCTGGGATCTGTTATGTGTCCCAGGTACCGCCTTACCATTCACAAAGAGCACCGCTTCTTGTGCATGCGCACTTGGCACCCGGCTGTCACACACACACTACAGAAGCCGGGAAGACAGCGTGCCGTTGGATAGAGGAACAGGTAAGGTCCCACTGCAGAACTGAGCGGCCGGCCCGGTATTCTGACACGGCGGCGGTGGAAATACCGGACCAGCTGCTCCATATTCGCTCCATAAGACGCACTGACATTTCCCCCCCTTTTTTTTGGGGGGGAAAAGTGCGTCTTATGGAGCGAAAAATACGGTAATTGTGTTCCAGTGATATGAAAGCTTCTTCAATATCCCAACATATAAAATGACAACGTTTACCAGATGAACAAACCTCAAAGCTTCATAGGACAGTTCACAATTCAATGTGACTTGGGATGATTGGGAACCACACCGCACACCAGCAGAGATCAAAGGAATGCAGCTGTAGCCAGAACCTCCACTCAGCATGTCATGATTGCACCAAAGAATACAAATAATAAACTCTGTAGTATAAAACCATTTTAACAGTTTACTAGCAACTTAGAGAGGTACTCACATGAAGCAACAGAGTATAGGAGCAAAACAACCAACCAAGTCACTGCTCAATCCAGCAGCATGATGATGTCAGCACAGGCTCCACCCCAACATGTTTCGTCCCAAGGGGCTGGCTGACTTCCAAACAAGTTACAGTACTTTATATAATTTTACTGGATATCTTGGACTTGTATACACATTTTTTTGCACTAGAGGGTGTTATATATATTTTATTAATTTAAAGGTATAGCTCAGCAATTTTTGTTTTTGATGTATCACCATGAATTGTAAGCGCGGAGAGTTTTGCTTTGGAAGGGCATTTGGGGGATCTTCATAGAAAGATATGTAGAGAATGGAGCCAAACCCACTGACAGGTAAAAGCCCTGCCAACTGATGGGCCATCCCGGTACTTGGGATTCGAACTCCATAACTCCTAAACCAATAAATCCTCAGCCCCACCAGCCAGAAAAGTGGACCTTATTATAATCTGTTTGGATCCTCTGTGGGTGTAGGAATGTATATTTGCAGGTTTGATACTTTGTGTGTGTCTTTTCTTTTTTTTTTTTTTTTGTTGGTTGAACTAGATGGACTTCTTTCAGCCAGACTAACTATGTAACTATGCTTCTAACAATAAAAGCAGAAGTCTCAGCTGCAGATATGAGTAAGCTTGCTCAGCAGACCAGAGGTCCCCTGTGCAGTGTGGTCCTGTATAATATATGGTAGTTCCAATACTGACTCCTATAAAGAATTGAACAGACCCCAAGCAGTTTGGTAGGATATTACCCCCATCCCTCTGTACAGGTACAGACAGGCACAGGGCAAAAGAATTGACTGCTGCTTTTTGGTATTTCATACCCAATCCTATCTCATGGAACCATGGAGTATGCCTCCACCCAGAGCTCAGTTATCAGACTCACCGGAGACTAAAGCAGCGTGCTAAGACTTTGCAGTGACTTACAGTCTTTATTATACGCTGATTGCTGTGTGTGTACGGCAGATAGAGGTTGTCCTGTTCCCCTCCATGTCTTCTGATCTATAACTCTTGTTCCAGGTTCCTCTGCGACAAGATTATGGGACAAAAGTCAGCTTGTTCTCTCATCTCCATCAGTACAGTCGGAAATTGCCTCTCACCCAGCAGCTAAGGTGAGTGTGAGTAGATGATGGGGCCCCTCCAACTGAACTAAAGACCTCCCGTTGTGTCTGTCCTACATCCGTCGACCTCCTGTTGTGTGTCCCTACATCTGCAGACCTCACGTTGTGTGTCCATACGTTTGCAGACCTCCCATTGTGTGTTCCTACATTTTTTATACCTCCTGTTGTGTGTCCGTACGTTTGCAGACCTCTCGTGTGTCCCTACGTTTGCAGACCTCTCGTGTGTCCCTACGTTTGCAGACCTCTCGTGTGTCCCTATGTTTGCAGACCTCTCGTGTGTCCCTACGTTTGCAGACCTCTCGTGTGTCCCTACGTTTGCAGACCTCTCGTGTGTCCCTACGTTTGCAGACCTCTCGTGTGTCCCTACGTTTGCAGACCTCTCGTGTGTCCCTACGTTTGCAGACCTCTCGTGTGTCCCTACGTTTGCAGACCTCTCGTGTGTCCCTACGTTTGCAGACCTCCCCTTATGTGTCCCTACGTTTGCAGACCTCCCCTTATGTGTCCCTACGTTTGCAGACCTCCTGTTTGTGTGTCCCTACGTCCGCGGGCCTCCCGTTGTGTGTCCCTACGTCCGCCCTCCCGTTGTGTGTCCCTACGTCCGCGGACCTCCTGTTTGTGTGTCCCTACGTCCGCGGGCCTCCCGTTGTGTGTCCCTACGTCCGCGGGCCTCCCGTTGTGTGTCCCTACGTCCGCGGGCCTCCCGGTGCCTCCCGTTGTGTGTCCGTACGTTTGCAGACCTCTCGTGTGTCTCTACGTTTGCAGACCTTTCGTGTGTGTCCCTACGTTTGCAGACCTTTCGTGTGTCCCTACGTTTGCAGACCTCTCGTTGTGTGTCCCTACGTTTGCAGACCTCTGTGTGTCCCTACGTTTGTGACCTCCCTTATGTGTCCCTACGTTTGCAGACCTCCCCTTATGTGTCCCTACGTTTGCAGACCTCCCCTTATGTGTCCCTACGTTTGCAGACCTCCCCTTATGTGTCCCTACGTTTGCAGACCTCCCCTTGTGTCCCTACGTTTGCAGACCTCCCCTTATGTGTCCCTACGTTTGCAGACCTCCCCTTATGTGTCCCTACGTTTGCAGACCTCCCCTTATGTGTCCCTACGTTTGCAGACGCTGTCCCTACGTTTGCAGACCTCCCCTTATGTGTCCCTACGTTTGCAGACCCTCCCTTATGTGTCCCTACGTTTGCAGACCTCCCCTTCTGTGTCCCTACGTTTGCAGACCTCCCGTTTGTGTGTCCCGTACGTCCGCGGGCCTCCCGTTGTGTGTCCCTACGGCCGCGGGCCTCCCGTTGTGTGTCCCTACGGCCGCGGGCCTCCCGTTGTGTGTCCCTAAGTCCGCGGGCCTCCCGTTGTGTGTCCCTACGGCCGCGGGCCTCCTGTCGTGGGTTTCGACACCCGGAGACCTCCCATCTTGTTGATTGGTCAGATGTTTCGAAAAATTGGCCACATAGTACAATGTTTCTGACATTTTCCTTTCTTCAGTGGAGTTCTATAAAGTGGTTTTCATTGCTGTGATCTTGATCTCCTCTCCTCCAGCATCCCGTCCTCAGTGATACACCCGGCTGTGGTGAGGCTCGGCCTTCAGTACTCACAGGGTATTATCAGTGGCTCCAACGCCAGATGTATCGCATTACTGCACTGCTTCAAACAGGTATGGCCTCCTCAGTGTTCACCTGATACTAACCCCTCCCTATATACCTGCAAACCCGCCCCAGATACCTGCCAGTCACCTTCCAACCCCACCCAGGTTTGAATACCCAACACTCAATCTGGGGATAGTACTTCTAGTTTTTTTTGTATACACATTGAGATATTGGTAGTGCAGAGAATGATCTAGTTATTAATTTAACCCAACCCTCACTTACCAAACCCACTTCATTCCTAGATAGAATCCTACCCATTCCCAGAGATCCATCCCCTACCTGCCACCCCATGTCTCAGATACCTTCTCCTCACCTGACAACCCTTCACAGTCCCAAATATGTACCTCAAGCTAGTCCTAGATACCCTCCCCCTCAGCTGCTAATCCCTGCCAGTTCCAAATACTTGCCCCCTACTCAGACCCAGATACCCACCATCCCCTTGCCAAGCCTTACATAGTCCCATATGCCCACTTTTCATCTTCCAACTCCTTTTTAGTCCCAGTTACCTACTACTCACCTGCCAACCACTTTCAGTTCCAGATACTTGACCCTCTTATGCCAACCCTTTCCCACTCCTAGATACCCATCAGTCACCAGTCCCAGATAGCCCCTGGCTGGATACAGATTGTCACACTGCTCTCTATGTTGAATAGGTGATCCGAGACTACAGCACTCCACCCAATGAGGAGCTCTCACGTGACCTGGTCAACAAACTGAAGCCTTACATTAGGTAGGGGGGTTTGTGCTTTATTAGGTGTGTAGGGGCATTACTAGAAGTGGGTATTGTTGAGGGTGGTTTATCCTTCTGGTGGTGTCTCTTTTGGGCTGGTTTCTAGGGCAGTCTATTTTTGGGATGTCTGTCTGATGGTGTTTCTGGAATTGGAAGGGGTTCCTCTCCACCCCTGGGGGGTTTTCTTTCCCTTGGGACAGCAGTCTTTTTCTCTGTCCCTGAGGGGGGCTATTTTTCTGTCCTTCCCTGGGAAGGAGCAGCCTCTGTCTGTCCCTGTAGGGGGGAGTGGCCTCTGTCCCGGGGGGGAGCGGCCTTTGTCTGTCGCTGTGGGGGGGGGGCGGCTTTGTCCCTGTGATAGCGGCCTTTGTCTGTCCCTGTGGGGGGGGGGGTAGCGGCCTTTGTCTGTCCCTGTGGGGGGGGGGGGGGGGGAGCGGCCTCTTTGTCTGTCCCCTGTTTTTCCCTGTGGGGGGGGAGTGGTCTCTGTCTGTCCCTGTGGGGGGGAGCGGCCTCTGTCTGTCCCTGTAGGGGGGGGGAGCGGCCTCTGTCTGTCCCTGGGGGGGGGAGCGGCCTCTGTCTGTCCCTGTGGGAGGGAGCGGCCTCTGTCTGTCCCTGTGGGGGGAGCGGCCTCTGTCTGTTTCTGTGGGGGGGGGGGGGGAGTCGCGGCCTCTGTCTGTCCCCTGGGGGGCCTTTGTCTGTCCCTGGGGGCGGCCTCTGTCTGTCCCTGGGGGCGGCCTTTGTCTGTCCTGGGGGGGGGCCTCTGTCTGTCCCTGGGGGCGGCCTCTGTCTGTCCCTGGGGGCGGCCTCTGTCTGTCCCTGGGGGCGGCCTCTGTCTGTCCCTGGGGGGAGGGGAGCGGCCTCTGTCTTTCCCTGGGGAGGGGGGGAGAGCTGGGGCCTCTGTCTGTCCCTGGGGAAGGGGAGAGCGGCCTCTGTCTGTCCCTGGGGAAGGGGGAGAGCGGCCTCTGTCTGTCCCTGGGGGGGGGGAGAGCGGCCTCTGTCTGTCCCTGGGGAATGGGGGGAGAGCGGCCTCTGTCTGTCCCTGGGGAGGGGAGAGCGGCCTCTGTCTGTCCCTGGGGAAGGGGAGAGCGGCCTCTGTTTTTCCCTGTGGGGGGGAGTGGTCTCTGTCTGTCCCTGTGGGGGGGGGAGCGGCCTCTGTCTGTCCCTGTAGGGGGGGGAGCGGCCTCTGTCTGTCCCTGTAGGGGGGGAGCGGCCTCTGTCTGTCCCTGGGAGGGAGCGGCCTCTGTCTGTCCCTGTGGGGGGGAGCGGCCTCTGTCTGTTTCTGTGGGGGGGGGGGAGTCGCAAGGCCTCTGTCTGTCCCTGGGGGCGGCCTTTGTCTGTCCCTGGGGGCGGCCTCTGTCTGTCCCTGGGGGCGGCCTCTGTCTGTCCCTGGGGGCGGCCTCTGTCTGTCCCTGGGGGCGGCCTCTGTCTGTCCCTGGGGGCGGCCTCTGTCTGTCCCTGGGGGCGGCCTCTGTCTGTCCCTGGGGGCGGCCTCTGTCTGTCCCTGGGGGGAGGGGGAGCGGCCTCTGTCTTTCCCTGGGGAGGGGGAGAGCGGCCTCTGTCTGTCCCTGGGGAGGGGGGAGAGCGGCCTCTGTCTGTCCCTGGGGAAGGGGAGAGCGGCCTCTGTCTGTCCCTGGGGAAGGGGAGAGCGGCCTCTGTCTGTCCCTGGGGAAGGGGAGAGCGGCCTCTGTCTGTCCCTGGGGAAGGGGAGAGCGGCCTCTGTCTGTCCCTGGGGAAGGGGGAGAGCGGCCTCTGTCTGTCCCTGGGGAAGGGGAGAGCGGCCTCTGTCTGTCCCTGGGGAAGGGGAGAGCGGCCTCTGTCTGTCCCTGGGGAAGGGGAGAGCGGCCTCTGTCTGTCCCTGGGGAAGGGGAGAGCGGCCTCTGTCTGTCCCTGGGGAAGGGGAGAGCGGCCTCTGTCTGTCCCTGGGGAAGGGGAGAGCGGCCTCTGTCTGTCCCTGGGGAGGGGGAGAGCGGCCTCTGTCTGTCCCTGGGGAAGGGGGAGAGGGGGAGCGGCCTCTGTCTGTCCCTGGGGAGGGAGGAGAGCGGCCTCTGTCTGTCCCTGGGGTGGGGGGGGGGGGGAGCGGCCTCTGTCTGTCTCTTGGGGGGGGGGCCTTTGTCTTTCCCTGGGGGGGGTAAACGACCTCTGACTGTCCCTGGGGGGGGAGAGTGACCTCTGTCTATTTCTGGAATGGGCAGGGTTCCCTCTCCACCCCTGGGGGGCTTTCTTCCCCTTGGAAGTGCAGTCTATCTCTCTGTCCCTGGGGGGAGCTATATTTCTGTCCATGGGAAGGAGCACCCTCTGTTTTCCCTAGGGGGGGGGGGCAGCCTCTGTCTGTCCCTGGGAGGGGAAGGGGGGGCAGCGGTCCCTGTCTGTCCCTGGGAGGGGTAACGGCCTCTGTCTGTCCCTGGGAGGGAAAGCGTCCTTGGTCTCTCCTCGTCTTTGTCCCTTTAGGGGGGGGGCATCTTTCTTCATCCCTGGGGGGGTTGAAGGGAAGGGTAGATCTCTCTTTTGGGGGTTATATTCATTTGTGATGGTAAGTGGATGGTCTTGGTCTGTCTCCATCCCTGCCTGTGTGGAGGGGGGTTTGTCTTCAATCTCTCCTCATCTTTAGGGGCATTTTATTTTCCTGATGGGTTTTCTTTTTCACTTGCAGTTTCCTGACTCAGTGTCGCCCCCTGTCAGCCAGTATGGGAAATGCCATAAAATACATCAAGAAAGAGATCTCAAATATGGGTCGGCAGATGGGAGAGGAGGAGGTGAGTGTAAATCCCACATTTTTCTCCCTACAGATTTTTATTGGGTTTTTTTTTTTTTTTGCAATAAGGTATGACAAAACACTTCCCATGGTATATTTAACTGACCAAAACAGAGTAATTATTTACAGAGACTTTTTAAATGTTTATATTCCCATTCATTAAGATCTCACTAATAAGTCAGCATCTTCAGAGACCTGATAGACCCTCTGGTACTTGGTGCTCTGCAGCCTTGGTCTTATATCGTGGCATTGTAGACCCTCTGGTACTTGGTGCTGTGCAGCCTTGGTCTTATATCATAGCATTGTAGACCCTCTGGTACTTGGTGCTCTGCAGCCTTGGTCTTGTATCGTGGCGTTGTAGACCCTCTGGTACTTGGTGCTCTGCAGCCTTGGTCTTATATCATGGCATTGTAGACCCTCTGGTACTTGGTGCTCTGGCCTTGGTCTTGTATCGTGGCGTTGTAGACCCCTTGGTACTTGTATCGTGGCATTGGCATTGTAGACCCCTCTGGTACTTGGTGCTCTGCAGCCTGTCTTGTATCGTGGCGTTGTAGACCCTCTGGTACTTGGTGCTCTGCAGCCTTGGTCTTGTATCGTGGCATTGTAGACCCTCTGGTACTTGGTGCTCTGCAGCCTTGGTCTTATATCATGGCGTTGTAGACCCTCTGGTACTTGGTACTCTGCAGCCTTGGTCTTATATCATGGCGTTGTAGACTTTTTGGTACTTGGTGCACTGCAGCCTTGGTCTTATATCATGCCATTGTAGACTTTCTGGTACTTGGTGCTCTGCATCCCTCGTCATATATCCTGGCCGTTATAGACTATCTGGTACTTTGCACTTTACAACCCTCTTAATGGAGTTGTAGATTTTGTGGCACTTGGCGCCGTGCAGTCCTCATCCTATATCATGGAGTTGCAGACTCTCTGGTACCTGGCACTCTGCAGCCCTCGCATAGGTGGCGGAGTCATGAATTGATGCTCTGGAGCCCTCTTGATGGTGGAGTTGTAGACTGTCTGATAGTTGGTGCTCTGCCGCCCTTGTCAGAGATGGTGGAATCATAAGTTCTCTGGTACTTGGCGCTCTACAGCCAAGTTGTGTCCCCAGGGCCCCTTTTATACCATGTGCTCTCTTTGTGCTGCAGGCAAAGGAAGAGTTGTATCAATGCATAGACAATTACATCCATGAGAAAATCCGGCTGGCAGCCCAGGCCATTTCCAAATCTGCGGCAGAGAAGATCAGCCAGGGTGACGTCATCCTGGTGTATGGCTGGTGAGTGTGATGGGAGAAATGTAAGCTAAAGCAACAAGTTCACTTTAAGGCTTGTCCCCGCAACCTGCTATACTCTTTTTCATGTTCCTCATGGACCATGGCCAGAGTCTTCATCATGAATAAAGACACTGCTGACATGGACCATGGCCAGAGTCTTCATCATGAATAAAGGCTGTGCTGGCATGGACCGTGGCCAGAGTCTTCATCATGAATAAAGACTGTGCTGACATGGACCATGGCCAGGGTCTTCATCATAAACAAAGGCTGTGCTGACATGGATCATGGCCAGAGTCTTCATCATGAATAAAGGCTGTGCTGACATGGACCATGGCCAGGGTCTTCATCATAAATAAAGGCTGTGCTGGCATGGACCGTGGCCAGAGTCTTCATCATGAATAAAGGTTTTGATGATATGGACCATGGCCAGAGTCTTCATCATGACTAAAGACTCTGCTGAGTACACCTCCGAATCAGTCTTCTTCAGAGCTTACAAAGGGCTGAGGACTCTCTTCCCTCTCCTTTGTTACAGTGCGGCTAGCGATATATCTTAATTTTGCATAATCAGTTCCTGCACTTCCTGAAACTTCCTGAGAGGAGTTTTAGATTCTTTCCTTGGAGGTGTTCCTGCTCCTTCAATACATAAAATAAATAAAAATACAACAAGGATGGCACAAACCCCTCCTAATGGGCACAGCAGGTATGCAGATGTGGGATCTCAGCACAGAGAAGGTGGGAACCCCTCATAATGGGCACAGCAGATATACAGACTCGGGAACTTGGTGCAGGGATAGTGAGAAGCCCTCGTAATGGGGACAGCAGGTGTAGAGACCCGGGAACTCAACACAAGGATGGTGAGAAGCCCTCATAATGGGGACAGCAAATATGCAGCCCTGGGATCTCAGCACAGGGATGGTGGGAACCCCTCATAATGGGCACAGCAGATATACAGACCCAGGAACTCAAAACAAGGATGGTGAGAACCCCTCATAATGGGCATAGCAGGTGTACAGACCCAGGAACTCAGCACAGGGATAGTGAGAAGCCCTCACAATGGGGACTGCAGGTGTACAGACCCAGGAACTCAGCACAGAGATGGTGAGAAACCCTCATAATGGGCACAGCAGGTGCACAGACCTGGGAACTCCGCACAGGGATGGTGACAACCCCTCATAATGGGTACAGCATTTACGCACACCTTGGATCTCAGCAAAGGATGGATGGTGGGATTTCCTAATAATGAGCACAGCAGTTGTGCATGGGAACTCAGTTCAGAGATGGTGGGAACCTTTCCTAATGGACAAAGCAGAGATCTCAGCACACAGATGGTGGGAACCCCTCATAAGGAGCACAGCAAGCATACAGACCTTGGAACTCCATGCAGGGATGTCACAAAGAGAGGCCTAAACTCTCCAGTCAATAAAGCAGTTCTGGGTGGAGAGACCCTTAAAGCGGAGTTCCACTCACCCAGTCAAAAAATAAAAGTCAGCAGCTACAAAAACTGCAGCTGCTGACTTTTAAAAAAAAACAGCCAATTACCTGTCCCTCGGTCCCGTGGCATGTCCCCCCGCAGCCCATTTCACCGGCCGTCCTGTATTCCAGGCGTCGGCATCTTCAGTGTGGGCACCTGGCTGTGATATCTTGCAGCTTCACAGCCAGGTACCCACTGCACATGCGTGAAAAGCACTGTGCTTCTTGAATGGTCCTGTAGTCTTCTGGGACCTGTCTCGTGTCCCAAAATACTACAGGGAGGGAGGACACTTTCCATTTCCGATCGCCTAGGTGATCGAACCGGAAATGGGAGCGGGTACCTATCAAATTTGGGTACCCGCTCCCCCCACCGCCCCCCAAAGGTGCCAGTCCTTAATGGGGAGTGGGGGAGCAGTCCTTATAGCGGTACTTCCCCTTTTGGGTGGAGCTCCACTTTAAATACAGATAAGGTTCTCATTGCTGGTATCAGTTGTTGGATGAATTTTACAGATCATTATAAATGAAATGTGCGGTCCTTTCTTTCAGCTCATCACTGGTGACCTTCACGCTCTGTGAGGCCCACAACAGCGGGAAGAGGTTCCGGGTCGTTGTGGCAGATAGCCGGCCACGGCTGGAGGGGAGAGAGACGCTGAGACGATTGGTGAACTGTGGCATCCATTGTACATACATCATGATCACTGCCATCTCTTACATCCTACCAGAGGTGAGTGAGAATGCGCATATACACCCGTCTGTCCACTGAGCTCCTGTCTCAGATGTCGGGTAAAGGAAATCTCTGGGATCCATCTGTGTTCTGTCTTCACTCACCATGTCCAGATACAGTGGTTATAGGAAAGAATCACCCCCCCCTTTAAAATAATCACATTTTGTTGCTTTGCAGCCTGAAATGAAGACAGACACTGTTTTTGTTTTATCCAGCTGTATCTACTCAGTGCAACTTATAACATCCAACTGAAAGATACAACACCAGGATAAAATTCAAAAACATAATCACTGAGTTGGAAAAAGAATCACTTGAGTTCCTAAAAATTGCTTGTAAACTCAATGAGGTGTAGCTAATAATCATCTTAATGGCGCACAAAGTCATGTGACAGTCAACTGTGATCAGCTGTGGTTATTTTCATTAGTTCAGCATGAAAAGAGCTTTCCTGGAGCATTTCAGTCCCTGGTAGTGCAACTGAAGCAAACAATCAGCTGTGGGCGGCAGGGCACTGTCAAAAGATCACCGGGATAAAGTTGTGGACAGGCACAAGTCAGCACAAGTCAGATGGATACAAAAAAATGTCAAAGGCTTTATCAATGCCTAGAAGCACAGTGAAATCTATTGTTAAGAAGTGGAAGGTATTTGGTACAACATAGACCCTCCCTGGATGAGAACGTCACTGCAAACTGGATGAAAGAGCCAGGAGGAAACTGGTCAGAGAGGCCTACAGAATTCTGAATCTGTGTCAGGAATTTATGACAAGGAGTGGTCATTGTGTGCATGCGACACCAAGATCACAAATCCTCCACAAATGTGGCTTGTATGGGAGCGGTGCAAGAAAAAAAAAATTGCTCCTCAAGAATGGCCACATGCAGTCACCACTGAGCTTTGCCAAAACGCACCTTGAAGATTCTGAGGCCACATGGAAAAAGGTGTTCTGGTCAGATGAGACTAAAATGGAATTATTTGGTCTCAACACAAACCATATGTCTGGAGGAAATCCAATCCAGCTCACCATCCAATTACCACCATTCCTACAGTAAAGCATGGAGGGGGGAATATCATGTTATGGGGGGTTTCTCTGCAGCAGGGACTGGAGCACTTGTCAGGATAGAAGATAAAATGGATGGGGCAAAATACTGTCAAATTCTTGATGAAAATCTGCTGCCCTCTGCCAGAAAGTTGTCAATGGGAAGAAGGTTTACCTTCCAACATGGCAATGACCCAAATCACACAGCAAAAATGACCACTCAGTGGTCGGAGGAGAAAAAGGTGAATGTCCTTGCATAGCCTACTGAAAAATCTGTGGAATGGCTTGAAGACTGCAGCCCACAAATGGTCACCATCAGATTTATCTGAACTTGAGGAGTTCTGCAAAGAAGAGCAAATATTGCAGAGTCTAGATGTGCAAAGTTAGTAGAGAAACATCCCAACAGACTGAAGGCTGGAATCATAGCAAAAGGGGGTTCTACAAAATACTGACACAAGGGGGTGATCATTTTTCTGTTTTTGATTTTTTTTGTTTTTTTTTTTACTTTTTTCTGACATGTTGGTGTTATATCTTTCACTTGGATGGTATAAGTTGCACTGAGTAAATACAGCTGGATAAAAGAAAAACTGTTTCTGTCTTCATTTCAGGCTACAAAGCAACAAACTGTGATTATTTTACAGGGAGGTAATTCTTTTCTATACTCACTGCAAGTCATTCTCTATCAGGCAGATTCCCATCCTCCTGATGTATAGCCCTTTTCTCACTTCCAGGACTCCTATAGCCCAACTGAAATAGATATGAGGTCAGACACATTATACTAACATCCACAGTTTTCAGTTGTCCAGGGAGTCTAAATGTGACTGCAGTTGGCTTCAGAGCACTCTGTAATCATAGGGAGGGGAGCACCCCTCCCTTTGTGGTCGGACTAGTGCCCCCTCCCTTCCTTTGTGATACAAATCTGTGTGTGGACACATATGCTGTGGGGTCTGGCTGTGATGAGGGGGAGTGGCTGGTACTCAGCTATACCTGCACAGAGCACTGGAGGGGAAGGCAGAAAGCAGCGTTTTCACTGAGGTTTACAAGTCATAGCCTGCAGTAGTGGAATGTGATAGTATGAGGCTTCACTTTAAAATGTATCTCTAGCCAAAAACAAAATCGAAGGTTTTGGCTGGAGTTGCACTTTAACATTCAGATGTGTCCGACATGAAATGAGCGGATGTGTGCAGTGTTGTGGCAGATTGGGATATGTGAACTACCAGACCCTCTGTATGTGGACATCTTACACTCCAATATGGTAGCTGTTACAACACATGGCATTGTCTTTTCAGGTGTCCAAGGTGTTTCTGGGGGCACATGCTCTGCTGGCCAATGGCTACGTCATGTCACGGGTCGGGACCTCTCAGATCGCATTGATTGCCAAAGCCTACAATGTGCCAGTGCTGGTGTGCTGCGAGACCTACAAATTCTGCGAGAAAGTGCAGACGGACTCCTTCGTCTCCAATGAACTGGGTGAGAACCAATCATAGCTGGTGGTGACCACACTTTCCTATATGTAGATGTCTTATTGGCTGGTTACTGCTTATAATTTCAGAATTCATCTTGTAGCTGTTTGACCAATGGCATCCTATCCTCCTCCTTACTCACATGAGCTACACCTTGTGTACAGAAAACACCTCCTATATACGCTGCATGATGCATACCTGGTAGACACCCAATCTGCTGAATGGTTACATTCCTAGTATACATCCTATCTGCTAGATGATACTTATCTAGTATATATCCTATGTTCTGGGAGACACTTAGCTAGTATACATCCTATGTGCTGGGTGTTCAATGTGCTGGACAGTACATACCTAGAAATACGTCCTTTTTGCTGGATGATGCATAACCAGTATACATGTTCAATGTGCTGGACAGTACATACCTGGAATACATTTGTATGATGCATACCCAGTATACAGTATGTTCAATGTGCTGAACAGTACATACCTGGAATACATTGTTTTTTGTGGATGATGCATACCCAGTATAACAGTATGTTCAATGTGTGTGTATCTACTATATGTATCTACAATACGTGTTAGATGATGCATGCCAAAGACTAGGCTAATGCTGCTGCAATCCAAGTTTGATCCAATTTCCTGTGCGATTGTGTAGTGCTACTTTGAATGTGTGTTGCATATTCTATAGGGCCAAAACCGCACTGGAATCATACCAAAGTAGTCCAGGGACCTTTTCCAAAATTGCTCCATGCTGAGTTGCATCGATGTGAATGGACACCATTGAAAAGAATGTGATTGTCATGCACTCCTATGCAACTCTTGTCACATCTGAAATCGCAGTAGTGTGAATTCCGCCTAAAACGCATCACATGTGCTTGAGTGATACATACTGAGTAAAGGTCCAATGTGCTAGATGAGGCATGCCTAATACACATCCCATGTGCTGGCTGATACATGCCTAGTATACATCCTATGTGCTGGGTGATACATGCCTAGTATACATCCTATGTGCTGGGTGATACATGCCTAGTATACATCCTATGTCCTGGGTGATGCATACAGTCAGGTCCATAAATCCTATTGGGACATGGACACAATTCTAACATTTTTGGCTCTATACACCACCACAATGGATTTGAAATGAAACAAACAAGATGTGCTTTAACTGCAAACTGTCAGCTTTAATTTGAGGGTATTTACATCCAAATCAGGTGAACGGTGTAGGAATTACAACAGTTTGAATATGTGCCTCCCACTTGTTAAGGGACCAAAAGTAATGGGACAGAATAATAATCATAAATCAAACTTTCACTTTTTAATACTTGGTTGCAAATCCTTTGCAGTCAATTACAGCCTGAAGTCTGGAACGCATAGACATCACCTACGCTGGGTTTCATCCCTGGTGATGCTCTGCCAGGCCTCTACTGCAACTGTCTTCAGTTCCTGCTTGTTCTTTGGGCATTTTCCCTTCAGTTTTGTCTTCAGCAAGTGAAATGCATGCTCAATCGGATTCAGGTCAGGTGACTCAACTTGGCCATTGCATAACATTCCACTTCTTTCCCTTAAAAAACTCTTGGTTGCTTTTGCAGTATGCTTTGGGTCATTGTCCATCTACACTGTGAAGCGGCGTCCAATGAGTTCTGAAGCATTTGGCTGAATATGAGCAGATAATATTGCCCGAACCACACTTCAGAATTCATCCTGCTGCTTTTGTCAGCAGTCACATCATCAATAAATACAAGAGAACCAGTTCCCATTGGCAGCCATACATGCCCACGCCATGACACTACCACCATCATGCTTCACTGATGAGGTGTATGCTTAGGATCATGAGCAGTTCCTTTCCTTCTCCATACTCTTCTCTTCCCATCACTCTGGTACAAATTGATCTTGGTCTCATCTGTCCATAGAATGTTGTTCCAGAACTGTGAAGGCTTTTTTAGATGTCGTTTGGCAAACTCTAATCTGGCCTTCCTGTTTTTGAGGCTCACCAATGGTTTACATCTTGTGGTGAACCCTCTGTATTCACTCTGGTGAAGTCTTCTCTTGATTGTTGACTTTGACACACATGCATCTACCTCCTGGAGAGTGTTCTTGACCTGGCCAACTGCTGTGAAGGGTGTTTTCTTCATCCAGTGAAAGAATTCTTCGGTCATCCACCACAGTTGTTTTCCGTGGTCTTCCGGGTCTTTTGGTGTTGCTGAGCTCACCGGTGCGTTCCTTCTTTTTAAGAATGTTCCAAACAGTTGTTTTGGCCACGCCTAATGTTTTTGCTATCTCTCTGATGGGTTTGTTTTGTTTTTTCAGCCCAATGATGGCTTGCTTCACTGATAGTGACAGCTCTTTGGATCTCATCTTGAGAGTTGACAGCAACAGATTCCAAATGCTAAATAGCACACTTGAAATTAACTCTGGACCTTTTATCTGCTCATTGTAATTGGGATAATGAGGGAATAACACACACTTGGCCATGGAACAGCTGAGAAGCCAATTGTCCCATTACGTTTGGTCCCTTAACAAGTGGGAGGCACATATGCAAACTGTTGTATTCCTACACCGTTCACCTGATTTGGATGTAAATACCCTCAAATTAAAGCTGATTGTCTGCAGTTAAAGCACATCTTGTTCATTTCATTTCAAATCCATTGTGGTGGTGTATAGAGACAAAAATGTTAGAATTGTGTAGATGTCCAATATTTATGGACCTAACTGTACCTAGTACCATTACCATGCGCTGGATGATGCATATCTTGTACACATCCATGTGCTGGCTGATACATGCCTAGTATACATCCTATGTGCTGGGTGATACATGCCTAGTATACATCCTATGTGCTGGGTGATACATGCCTAGTATACATCCTATGTGCTGGGTGATACATGCCTAGTACCATTCCCATGCGCTTGATGATACATACCTTCTACACATCCTATGTGCTGGGTGATACATGCCTAGCGTACATCCTATGTGCTGGGTGATATATACCTAGTACCATTACCATGTGCTGGATGATACATACCTTGTACACATCCTATGTGCGGGATGATACGTCCCTAATACCATTCCCATGCGCTGGATGATACATACCTTGTACACATCCTATGAGTTGGATGATATGCCCCTAGTACCATTCCCATGTGCTGGATTATACATACCTTGTAAACATCCTATATGCTGGATGATACATCCCTAGTACCATTCCCATGTACTGGATGATGCATATCTTATACACATCCTATATGCTGGATGATACATCCCTAGTACCATTCCTAAGTGCTGGATGATACATCCCTAGTACCATTCCCATGTGCTGGATGATACATACCCTAGTACCATTCCCATGTGCTGGATGATACATCCCTAGTACCATTCCCATGTGCTGGATGATACATCCCTAGTACCATTCCCATGTGCTGGATGATACATCCCTAGTACCATTCCCATGTGCTGGATGATACATCCCTAGTACCATTCCCATGTGCTGGATGATACATCCCTAGTACCATTCCCATGTGCTGGATGATACATCCCTAGTACCATTCCCATGTGCTGGATGATACATCCCTAGTACCATTCCCATGTGCTGGATGATACATCCCTAGTACCATTTCCATGCGCTAGATGATGTGTACCTAGTACACATCCTATATGTTGAATGATATGTACATTGTACAGATCCTCTGTGCTGGATGATACATACCTAGTACTCTTTCCTATGTGCTTACTATATAAGCAGTATGATATCTTCTCAATTTTTGAACCAATGTTCCATAGTATGAATATACCCCTAGCATGTTATAATTCTATATGTGCGTCCTTCTTTAGTTTTCTGGCCTGGTCCAATCATTGTTCCCTGTCTCGGGGTAGAGAGGGGGTTCTGGGTGCCTCCTTCCTGACAGAAGTGCTTCCATTTTGTCTGCTTGTTCATCCAGATGACCCAGATGACCTGGTGGTGACACGCAAGGGGCAGACTCCATTGAAGGAGTGGGACAAGAACTCCTCACTGCGGCTGCTGAACTTGGTGTACGACGTGACACCTCCTGACCTTGTGGACCTGGTGATTACAGATCTAGGAATGATCCCCTGCACATCTGTTCCTGTGGTCCTGAGAGTGAAGAGTGGAGAGCAGTGATGGCCGGAGTTTGTGTTATTTATCGCTTTGTTATTAAAGAAATTCTGCTTACACCCTGCCGATGTGTGATAGTATAGTGGTGTAGGCCAGTGTGGGCGCTGCTACGTATGTGGCAGGATTTGGTGGTCACTGTCCCACCTGTTGGTCATGTTGGTATTTGCATTACACAACCTCCATATCACAGATATGGACAAGTCAAAACTAGAGGAGTGGTAGCTATAATAAAATGCCTAAAGGATAGGTGTGTGTGCAGAAACACAAAAACAGTTTTTATATATCCATTTACATTTCCCTTATTCTTCATGTTCCTCAGGGTTGTTATCAAGGTCCAGAACACACATTATACTTCATAGGTTGAAGAAGTCCCACAGATAGCTTCTGCCTATACCGTCACTGAACTGTTTTCCATAAACTTCTGTTTGCCAACACGTTTCAAGGGCATTACCCCACTTCCTTGGCATATAACTTTTTTGGACATAATTTTCACAAATCAAGACCAGTGTAACCAAAGTCACTCTTGGGAGTTGCAATAACTTTCCTTTACTAATCTGATTATGCATCTCTGTATTTTTTCTTTGTTTCCATTGGAGAGAATTGAGAGGATATCTTACTCTGCTGAAAGTTTGTGTCCAGGGGCGGACTGACCATTCGGGCATTGTCAGAGGGCCCGGGATCAGTAGGGGGCCCTGTGAGAGGCTCAGTGTCCGGTGACAGTGTGGAGAGCGGAGGAGGAGGCAGTCTCAGATCTATGAAGTAACTCGCCTTTCACTTCACGTAGTGGTAGAGTGAGTCGTGGTCCCGGGCAGTGGTAGTGCCTTCTACACACTGCTGGTGATGGAGCCGGTGGGCAGCGGGAAGGTGAGAGGCAGTGGTGTATCATCCATGGGTGCAGGGTGTTCACTGCACACACCCTACATCCATGGATGACATGTATCAGGAGCAAAGTTGGGGATGATTGGTGCAGCAGAGGGACAGTTACAAGCACCGATTTCCCTGTATGGCTTTCAATGAAGCAGCTGAAAGCTGCAGGAGGGAGAGGAGGAGAAGCAGCTTCAGCTTCTTCACTGAAAGCCATACAGGGAGATCGGTGCTTGTAACTGTTCCTCCGCTGCACCGATCATCCCTGACTGTGCACCAGATTTCCTTTCTGGCCCCCCTGTGTTCTCAGCCCCCCTGCAGGTCTCTGATGCCTTGTCTTCCCAGACCCAGACCCCCCCCCCCCCCCATCATCCACAACAATGGCAGAACAGAGGAAAGAGCCTGGATCTGCTCTGCCTCCCCTGTCCCTGACCACACAGTCCATACAGCTTCTGAGAAGAGGAAGTGTAGGGAAATTGTGTCCAGATCAGCTGGCAGCTCTGTGATGCTTCTGAATGTGCCAGTAGGCCGGGAACCATCCATGTGAGTCTTCTCCTTTCCCTTTCCTTCCTCCATCCATTTCCTCCCTCCCTTTTTTCTTCCTTCTTCCATCCCTTCATTCTTTCCTCCCTCCCTTCTTTTCTTCCCTCCCCTTCTTTCCCTCTCTCCCCTTCCTTCCCCTCCCTTCCTCCCTTTCCTTCCCTTCCTTCCTTCCTCCATCCATTCAAACCCCTCCCTTTTCTTCCTTCCCTTCCCTCATTCCTTCCTCCCTCCCCTTCCCCCTCATTCATTCCTTTTCCTTTCCTGTCCACTGTCCCACACAAAATCATTGGGAAAAAAAAATAAATTGTAAAAAAATAAAAAAAATTCTGACACCTATGCAATTGTTCTACTGACACCATCCACTGGCCATTCAAAAGCATTTTGAAAAAATTATAAAAAATAATAAAACATTAAATTGCAAACATAAAATTGTAAAAAAAACAAAATCATAATAAAAATAAAGAAGTACTGATACCATCTACTGCCTTACTGACACCATTCTGCACATACTACCCACTGCCATACACTTCGCACTCCTCTCCCTGTACATACTACCCACCACCATACATTCCACACTGTACATTCCCTATTTAACATTACCACATTCTGCACTATGTAAGTCATCTCAGACAATAATCACACCCCTTTTAAGTCACACACAATTTGTAGCCATTTAAAACACCTCTCTCTCTCTCTCTCTCTCTCTCTCCCACTCTCTCTCTCTCCCCCCTCTCTCTCTCCCACTCTCTCTCTCTCTCTCTCTCCCACATGGCAGTCATCTTTAAACCTAGAAGTTCCCAGTGACTTCTACGGAAAGAAGCCGGGAACATTCATGCAGTCTTTGCTGCAGTAAATATTTAAATGCCCCTTCTATGCAGCTGAGCTGCAATATGTAGGTGGGGTGTTGTGTGGGCGTGACTTGAGTGTAGACGGGGACACAGGTGGCCCCTTTATCTCTTATTGCCTGGGGGCCTTATGAGATGTCAGTCCGCCCCTGTCAGTGTATATCCTGGGATGTTGGAGCAAGTAGACCCTCTCATCTACATCAGGGAACACTGTTGTGAAAGGATCGGGGAGGCTGCCATTGAATTACTCTCCTGTGGGAATGCTAGTTCCCTGGCTGTTGATGCTTTGGCTTCATTGTTGCATGAATAGCTGACCTAGAACAGATATAGTAATACTGTGGTCTGACAGTGTTCCCTAAGGGAACATTGCCCGGATCCTTAGAGTTAGCATATTTCCCGAGAGGGTGGATGATGTAAACATGTAATCCTTGAAAAAAAGGGTCCTTTTCTAATGGAGTACACTCCCTGAATCCTCTGGGGTGTATAAACTGTGAGATTGGAGGCTGTAGACCCCTAATCTGTTGAAGAGGTTCTCTTTCTGGGGACTGCTTAAATCCTTAGTGAAAATGTATATCCCAGGAGATTGAAGGGTGTAGACCTCTAATCTTTTTAAGATGTCCTGTTCCCTAGATACACACACCTCAAATGCTCAGTCTCTGGACATGCTAGGAGGTTGGAGTGTAGATCTCTAATCTGCTGAAAACGTTTCCCCTAAGGGTACAATCACGAATCCTCATTGTTGGTGTAAATCACAGGAGATTGGAGGGTGTAGATCTCTAATCTTTGGAAGATGTCCTGGTCCCTGGGGACACACACCTCAAATCCTCAGTCTCAGCACATGCCTGGAGGTTGGGGGGGGTGTTTTAGATAGATGTAGATCTCTAATCTGCTGAAAAGGTTTTCCCTAGGGGTACACTCTTGAATCACTCAGCTAATTTGACCCCAATGAATCCTCATTGGTGAATTAAGGGTGTAGACCTCTAATCTGTTGAAGATGTTCTGCTCTCTGGGGACACACACCTCGAATCCTCAGTCTCCACGCATATCCAAGAAGGTTGGAGGTTGTAGATCCCTAATCTGCAGAAAATGTTTTTCTCCCTGGCAGTACGCTCCACAAATCCTCATTATCAAACTATATCCCAGGCGATTAGTGGGTGTAGACCCCAAATCTCCTGAAAAGCTTCTTCTCCTTAGGGGTACACTCCCTAAATCCTCATTTTCAGAGTATATTCTAGGAAACTGTTAAAGATGTTCTGCTTCCTGGGGGTATCATCAGTTTCCCCAAACCTTGAATCATCAGTTCCCCACATATTCTAGGATGTTTTGAAAGCTGTAGACCCCACAACCTGCTGAAAAGATTCTTCTCCCTAGGGGCACACACCCAAATCTGCATGGTTGGTTTATATCCCAGGAGCTTGGAAGGTGTAGATCAGCCTTTTTCGACCAGGGTGCCTTGGCAAAATGTCTAAAAATTGCCTAAAATTTGTTTGCAAGCCAGCTGGTGGAACAAGCCTGCCTTTTAGATACACAAAGTTAGGGCTTTTCATTATGCAACATTATGACCTACTAGCTTAACAACCAATTACATCATAAGTTGATAAGGAGGACGTTGGTTGCCTGCATAGTGTTCTTGCTTGCCCCTTTCCTGCCCCTTTCCGTCAGCACTGAGGTCACATTAGCTGAGTGATGGAGAAAAACTGAAGGAGAAGAGGAACATTGGAATACTAGTCAGTACCAGTGTGCAAAAGTGTATGTTTTGGAAGAATAAATCAACTTGAACATTCAGTGTCCTACGTGTGTGGATGTTGCTGCGTTATATAAAACTATTAGAATACTTTTTTAAGCTCTCAGACTTGGGGAGGGGCCTGAACATGGAGCCGTAAGCAGCGTGAGCTCCGGCGCCCGCTAGCAATGTGTGCAGCCCTGTCTTGATCCACCCTGCTGTCTGCCCGGAGCCCTGTCTTACCCGAGCCTGGATGAGGAGCGGAGCCTGGGCATCCTGGTGGTGGTGACCGGAAGAGGTGTTGGTGGAGCCCGGACCTGAGTCCCTGGGGGAGAGGGCGGGTCGGTGAGGCTCGGCAGATCTCTGGGAGCAGGAGGCATCGGAGGAGAAGGGGAAGGTGAGAGCGTCCCTGTGACCATGCATGTGACTTCCCAGGTGACAGCCCATGTAATGGCTGGCGGCAAATTTGAAAGTGACAAGCTGTCCCAAAGTCCAGGAATGCAGTGTGGCTTCATGGCTGAAGAGCAGGCTGTATATTAAAGGTGATTTATGCTGGACAGCAACCTTGGGAAAACCTGAGATGCCCTAGAAGTTTAATATACACTAACTCATCTGATCTCAATTGGAGGCAATGGCTGGGACTGAGTGTGCTCTGGTATGGAGAGATCCTGATTTGCTGGCACAAAAGGTGGTGGTGAGTTGCTGTAAGGGCAAGATATTTTATATTTTGATACATCTGATGTTATTGCTGCAGTTTAAATGCATTCCAGAGAATTAGAGGGGATGGAGGACTATACTTGCGGGGGTTCTCAGTGGTTGGCGGAACTGGCTAGATCACTCCTGCTCCAAGATAACAAATAGGAGAAATTAAAGTCATCAGAGGGAAATGTTTTTCCTGGGGTTGGATAATACAGCAGCGGCGCATCAATAGCAAAGTTAGCGGTAAAGTTTAAAGAGATGAAGAACAGATCAGCTAAAGGGGGGGGGGGGGGGACCCCTCAAGTAAGTGCAAATACTAGCACAATAAGGAA